TATTTCTATTTTTCTCATAGAAATCTATTTTAAAATTGCTATTAATGGATTATAGATCTACGAATAAACTTTTCTTACATCTATACAAATTTATGTTGTAGTATTATTTTGTAGTGGCGTTTGTTTTCTTGATAAAAAGATACTGAATCATAAATCTAATGAAAGTTTTAATGTCATTTCTTAGAGCTTTTTGTTTTGTTATATTCACCTCTAAATTGTTAAAGTCACGCAGTTTTTTTTTCTTCTTTTATATTTCTTTATATATAATTTTTTAATTTCAATAGATAATAATTCCCATGTGTAGAATCTAGAATTTATGAATATCTTATTTTTGTTATTATTAAAAGTATCACAAATATACAATATAATATTGTTAGATTATTGAAAGGTGAAATCGAGTTCAATACAATCGATGAATTTTCAATTTGTAAACTATTAATACAGTTTTGTTTTTGATTTTGACCAAATCTATGAATATCTATCGTTTAAATACTGTTCCCCTAATGAAGAAGTATGTTAATTACGAATTGAAGAATCGAAAAGATTTGGAGATTATTAAGAATACGTTCACTCACATAATGATTGATAGAATTGAAAATATATAATTATGACACTTCTGATAATCATTAAAAGACAATACCCAGTCTTACTGAAATGCAATAAAAATGTTGTTACCAACAAAAAAAAGAAAAACTAAAAAAAGCGTTATTGTAAAAAAAGCGACTCAAAGTCAGAAATCAGGGCTATATTTAAGCTAAGTGTAGTTCATTTCTAATCAGCATCGTCGTCTTCTTCATCATCATCTTCATTTTCATCGTCTTTATTGTCTTTCAGGTGACAATGTTGGTCATAACAATTGCGGCATATATAATTACTATCATTATTGGATGGACATGTGTGAAGTGACACATTATCCTTTGACACCTGTTTTCGACATAAAACACATGGAAACCTTTTCTTATTAGTATCCTTTCGACTAGCCAATGCACACTCATGTGATTTCGATGACGTTTGAGTTTGACACTTCGTATTCATTACATTTCCTTTGTTGATAAAGGCATAAAGAAAAGAAATTAGAGAGGACTGTTTTTGGAGTTCAAGAAGAAGTTGTTGTTGTCTCTCTATGGAATTGTTGAGTTGAACTTGAAGTGAACTGAGAATAGGTTCAAGCTCATGAAATGAACATATGGCTATATGATCGGCTTGTTTATCTCGTGGCCCTGTCCAGGGACATAGATTGTGTGCAGATGGACACGGAACCAACATCTTAGTGCACTTGGATTGATGATCAAGTAAATTGCCACGTTCAATGTTGATCTGCTGACAGTGTTTACATCTAATATGAAGTCGATTGAGTTGATTAATGACAACATGTGTTGTGACTGGAGACCAGGAAGGTGTTTTACGGTCATCTTTGTGATTGATTACTTTTTCACGACATGTTGGACATCTAGTATGGATTTCTAGCCATTTTCCGATGCAGTGCTGACAAAATGTATGCTCGCATTTAATAGTTACAGGATTTTGAAATGGTTCGGAACATATACTACATTTGAGTTCATCATCAATTTGTGCATCATTCATATAGTCATAATCGCAGACGGTCGTGTCTCTAGCAGTAGCCATTAATAGAGTTCAGAGTCGAAGTCGATATAAAAGTCTATACTTTCTTACAATGATTTATTGTAAAACGACTCTTTGTGATTGTTTGACAGATCGAACTTGTGATATCAGTGTCGTCTGATCGTTTGTACTCTTTTTATATACCATGGTCGTGATCGATGTAGGTTTTTTCCAAAATAAAAACCTAATATCGATGTTGGATATTTTGTAGAGAATCGTCTGAATCCCTCAATGGGTTTTTTTTCTACGTAATACAGTGCGTCGACATTTTCATTGGGCTCTTTCCTTTCATCTGACTTATCATATTTTTTTATCATTCCTTATTTTTTAATTTGTATCATCACTGTGAAGCAATAGAGCGTGAGAGACAAACGAAAGAAAAGAGAAAAAGAACACAAAGACAACGTCGAAGCACTATATGATGTGAGGAAAAAACCCAATTAAGCCATTTACCCAAAATGTACAACATTAATATTAGCTTCGTAACTTGGGAAAAACCTCACACTTATGACAACTACTATTAGGGATCGTCGAGTCCAACCTTTTGGACTCAGACCTGGACCTGAACTTTTTATTCTCTCCATAATTTTTTTTAATTTGAAGCTAATAGGTCGGCCTTGAAAATACAGGATACTTTGATTCGATTATTTGTATAGGACGACTAGCACACACTATATATTTTTCAAGCAATTGTGAAGCAGCATCATAGGCATCATCATGTGCATCTGCGCCACCAGTATTAATAGTCATCTGGAGATCACAATGATTGTGATTTATTTTTTTGTTATATGTGATTGATGTTTTTACAGGTTAATATCAAATGCATTTCATAGTTCACCTACAATTTCGCCTAGTCCGTTTGAGGCCTTGTGCAAATATATTCGCTACATGCTTTTCTTTGGAGCACCATGCTCAATAGTTGACCTTTTCTATTCATTTAATCCATTCTTGGGAAGAGCCATTCATAAAATAGAGAACAAGAAGCTGCCTATTGACATTCATGCTTTCCCCTATTTCTCGTATTTATATACCTCATTACAAACAAGTTTTTTATCAAGCAAAAGATTGAAAGAACAACAGCAACAAATAGAAACACTGATACGAACACAGACATGGTATGAATAAATTAAGAATATTAAAAGAATAGCACACATAGCTCAAACAAAATAGTAGTTAATTTTTTTAACTTTATATTATCTCACCATGATTATCTTAGTAACTACTCCTTCGGTTGTCTTATCCCATTTGCTGAGTTATTGTTTTTATTTTGTATTTATTGTTTAATGTTGTGTATTTCAGGATCCACCAATCAATCAACAACAGTTCTTGCAGAAAGATTGGTATGCTCATATCAAATGGCTAAGAGCTGAAGTACAAGAGTGGGAAGTCCGAGTTGCTCAGCTGCTGGCTGAGGCGAATGAATTGATTGCTCGAGCGAACGCACTGAAGGCTCCACTTGAGGCTCTAGAAGATGCAGCGGAAGCTCTGGCGGAGGCTTGGGCTGATGAACCGGAAGCGGATCCAGTAGCATGGATAGGTGGATGAAGATCGGTGATTGTTGGTATTGTCACGATACAGATCAGTATTGCAAATGAATGATCTCGTGTGTGACATTTCTTCAGCTCTTGTATGTTTTCTTGTTTTGTTCAAATAAAACTTAAAAAGGATACTCTAATTATTACAATTATTATATTTTTTATGTTGTTTATCAAAAATGATGATGAATCTGATTTACTTTATTTCTAGAATAAAGTAACACTTTTAATTCTCAGATCCGAGATTGGGCTTATGCTACAACTGAATCCAATTCATATACTCTAGTATTTTCGTAAATTACAATTATTGATTATAATCAATAAGCTATGACTGTTATATTTCACATCGATTTTCAAGATAATAACATTACTGTATATTTAAATATTTGATAAACAACAAAAAATAATAAGTATTACATTATAAAACACTATAAAGTTCTAATAAAACAAAAAGAAAACATGATTCATTTTTTTTTCTTATCAGTTTTTTTTGTTTGTTCATTTTCAATAATAATCATAGCCAATTGACTACGTGATGCTAATCCTTTTTCTTTTTGCATTAAACATCGATTATATTCAATATTATTCAATTGTTTTATTGAATCACATTTTATTGGATGATAATGAACACGTAATGATTGATCTGGTGCACGTAAAATATGTATATCAGTTAATTGTATAAATAAATCATAGAAATTCATTGATGATAACGTTATATTATGCAATAAAATAGTTTGTTTTAATTTTAAATAATCATTCATATATAATCCAATATGATCAAATGCATATGAATTAAACCAACCATGAGATTTATGTAGTTCAATTGTTGAATTATCTGTCATATGATATGTACGTGTTATAATATGTGGATGATATTGATAAAAAGCAATAGGAAAAAATAATTGAACATTTTCAATAACATTTAAACGACAACGATTTAAAAAATCTGATTCAATATTAACATATGGATTTGTTAAAAATACAAGTGAATTTGTTCGAAATTTTGTTTCAAAATAATCAAGTATATGTGTTGTATGTGTATAACGTGTTATTGATGATGTTGATGGTAAATGTATAGTATGATATGATACTACTAATTGAGTTCTTGTACGATGTATTAAATCAATTTCATGACGTATATTATCAAACCATTTTTGTGATTGAGATAATTCTTGTTTTGTTGTTATAATATGTGTAAGATGTAATTCAAATTTATCACGGGTTTCTTTATCAAATAATGTTTTATTTGCATAATGAAGAAAACGTATTGCAACTGATTGTTCATCAGAATATATTGGTAAAATAAGAAAGATTTTTGTTGATTCAGTAACAAATGGCATTGGCACTATTTCAACGAGTCCTTAAAAAAGAAATATTTGTTTAAATCTTATAATCGATTTTTTTTAATTCAGAAGTCTACTATAAGTATAAATATTTAGAAATACTCAAAAGTGATAACCGAGATATTTTATTTAAAAACAAAACTATTTTTATATAAAATACCATTTCCTCAATTATCAAAGTAAAAGAAAAATTATTGATATAGTACTCGATTTGTACGTAAATATTTATGTATTTATTTATCTTACCTAATGGTCGCATTAATTCTGCACGCTTAATAAATTCAATTTTATTCTCATCGATAAGCGATAGATCCATAATATAATGTGTACCTCGTGTCGGATCAAATTGACGATAACCATTAATTAGTTTTTTAAATTTTAATCTATTTTAAAAAGAGAAAATAAAATCATTTAATTTCTCCCAATAATTAATCCTACTGAATTCCATATTTCTTTTGTAATTGTTCGACAGCATAGTTAATAACTTCATGTATCTCTTCATAATCATCATCTTGAGAAAAAAAATACATAATTTAATCAAAAGAAAATAACAAAATTACTACCTTTCATTGGATCGATGACATCAATATCTGTTTTTAAATAAATATGTGTTTCATTGAAATAATCCCAACGAAGAACATCAAAACGTGATGTTGGTTTAAATGGTGGTGGTACTCCAACTGGCCATGGAATATTTCCACAACCTTCTGGTGCATAACACGAAAGATTTTCGATAGTTTCTTCATATTTCGATATACTACGTGTCATTTCATCAATTTCAACTTGATTAAAATATCTGATTAATTTTTTTTTAAATAAAAAGAAAATTATGATTAAAAAGATATTTTTTGTTTTTATACTTCTGAAGTTTTAACATTGTTTCTAGATCATTTACAGGATGAACAGTTAATGTTTGATTAAATTCTTCATTTTTAGATAATTTATCAATATCCGTATCAAATTCAAATCGATAATTTACATACGCTGTAAATTTATAATTCTAAAAACATATTTTTGTATAAATTAGAAGAAAAGATATATAAATTAAAAGAAACCATACACTAGCCGTATTAACACAAGGTGATTTAGCTGCTTTTAAAATACATCTACCAATATTATCAGTTAAATCTTGTGAATAAGCATTATTTGTACACCAATCAATTTCATCAAGGACTTTGCGAAGTATAGTCTATAAACATATTTATTTCATTACTTTATCAAATAGAAAAAAAAATAATATCTTTCATATCGATTTCTTTCTTTCTTTCTTTAATTACAGAACAAACGTTCGATTTCATAGTTTGCAAACAATTATTTGTGCCTGACATAATCTATCTACGCTAGAAAATAAAGGCGACTCTTTTTTTTTCTTGCTAAATAACAATTAATCGCCATACAGTAAAAGTCAAGAATAATGGCATTCTATACCGTATAATTAGAACTATTTCCTATAGAATTCAAATCTATCAATACATACTCCTGATAAAATAATACCAGATCCAAAATAACAATATACAGCATGTACATCATCAAATGGTTGTCCCATATAAAGATCTTGACTAATACTAATATGATTTAAAAATTCATTTAGCTATAATAATAGAAATTATTATTCCGATTAAATATCTTCTATTGAACTTACTTTAAAACCTCGTATATATGTATTATCAGGAACAAGTACAAACCAATCATATGATTTAATCATTTTTTCAGCAAGATATTTTAATATATAAAATGGTTTTAGATAAGCTCGTTTATCATGTATTGCAACTACTTCCATACTTTTAGGAAAATCTTGTACATCTTCATCAATAAAAAATAATAAACGATTAACATAATTTTGTAATGTTTGATTGAGAAAAAACGCAAATGTATTTAAATGATTGGTTTCAGTTATAACAGCAACAAGAATTTTTTCACGTATACCTAATTCATCAGCTATATAACGTGGTCGTGTAACTTTCGGTGTATTTGATGATTGTGTTGTTGTTGATAAAGATTGATTATTGAGATTTTTTTCCATTGATGATGGTTGAACTATTCGTGGTTCATAATCTTTACTACCATAATCAACGAGTGTAACATCAGCAACTGAACGTGCATGTCGATTTAATATTCGATCAATTGTATCACGTAATGAAAATGTTTCATTTGAAAGTTGATTATTTAATGAAGAAGAAAATGGTTCAGAAAAAAGTAATAATGGATTATCACAAACACTTATCATTGGTAAACATGCTAAACTTAATGTAAAACCAAGTGATAAACCAACAAGTATCGATAATATATAACGAGATTTAAGTCGACTACGATGAAATAAAAGTGATATTAATGAAAATTTATAACGCATTAATCTAGCCAGTTTTGAACGAATCGTTGAAAAATATTTGCAAAGATGTATACCACCGGTTTTAGTTGATAAATGACGATTAGTGTTCAAATGAACTAGAAAAGAAAAGTTCATCTAAGATATCATTAGACATGTTCAATTTGAGAACTGATGTTGATCAATATGTAAAAATAACTTCATAATATTTTCTCCACTTATATTAAGTCAATTCAAACAAGTGTTTGAATAATTATCATCACAAAAATAAGAAATGCAATAAACGTAATTTTCTTTTTTTATTCTAATGTTTTTATTTAACAGAAAAAAAAAGGTTCGTTTACCTCACCTTATAATCGTTTGCAGTCATCTTTTAATATAAAAGCATGATTTTATTCATATTTTCGTTTCGTTTCTTTTCTCTTCCCTTCTGTACTCTATTTACATCTTCTACAATTATTAAGAATGGGATTGAAGGTAGAACGAGAACTGAAAGAAGCAGAAGCAGAAGCAGAAGGAGAAGGAGAAAAAACGTATTTTATTATTTTGTTTGCCATACGGCTGTTCTTCGCAGCTGTACCATCATAAGAACGGATTCATTCTTTATGTATAAATATCGTATACATATATGTATATACAGAAGGGTAACAGAACAACGAGCGAGGAGAAGAAAAAAAGGTCTTTATTCATTATAATTACATATACAAGTAAATTCTTATTGTTTCCGACTATTCACACAGTAGTATTCGTTGATAGTTATGTTTAATTACAAGAAACATCTGGCTTTTGTAAACAGAAGAATAATAAATATCTCAGAAAGACAAATGATCATGTATAATATTAGTTATGTAAATATCAGTAATTGATTAGATATTTTTTTAAAGAATATTTCATTTAAATCAAATAAATATAAAATTATTCTATGTTATTTACCTGCTCGTCGATGTTTTCTTCCATAACGAACCATTGTTTTGAAATCGAGTTTTATTTTAAAAATATTATTCAATTTTTATCTAAAAATGAACTATACCATAATATAAACCAAGTAACCTCCTACACCTAGAAAACAGAAAATAGTACCAATTTTAACAATGCAGAAAAAGCTTCTACCTTGATATAAATGAATATACAGTTATTATAGATTTTCATTTTATTCTTCACGCGTAAATTAAATATAGTAATCAACAGGAGGTTAAGTACATATATAAGAAAAAAAGAACATATAGAGTGACGATAAATATGCATGTTTTTTTCAAATGTGAGAGAAATATATTGGCAAATAAATAAAATGTTCTTATTCACATCGAATAACACGAATGAATATAAATTAGTCTATTATGTATAATTAAGTATTAGCAAGCAAAAGAAAAAGCGAAGAAGTTACATACAAAATTATACAATCGTATATGAACTTATTGTTTCTTTATGTGCAAGCATATAAGATAATCTATATTAATTGTACAATTTTTTTTGGAAATAATATTGTTGAAAGAGAAGCTTCAATAAAATTCAAGAAACTTGTTCAGTTCAGTAGGATATTGTACTTATCTCTGTACTTCAATATTCAATGATTATAAAAGAGTGTTTTTACGATATATGATGTAATTTTATTTGTTTGATAGTTTTGTATTGCTTGATAACATACGTTACCTTTTAGTTATTTGATAATAACAATATATATTGAATTAGATTATAAATGAAATCATTGTTCTTAAATGTAATTGATTATAAATAAATCTTACCGAAAATATAATTATCAATAACTTCAGTATCATTGATGAATAAATGATAAGTTGTACAATGACTTATAAAACTGACAAAACAACACAGATCGTATGATATAAATAAGATTGTAGACGATGTATATGTAGGATAATTATGACTGTCTTTTTTGTATAATTACATATTCGTTTCGAATGATGAAAAATATTTTTACACTATCCAAACAGATTATTATAGACTTGAAAGAGATTTGATATATGATAAAATACGTTTTATTTTTACAAAAACATGAAACTTATGGAATTGATATTATTAAATAAACTGAATTTAAAAAATCGCGGAGGTTGTAGATGAATATCTGATTTAATTAATCATCTAACAAATTTGATATATTAGATTTCAAACTCTCATACAGAATGTTGTTTAATAATATCGAATAAAATTCTATTTTTGAAACAAAGTTTAGAGTCTTTCTCATTGATTCAAAAGAAAATTTATGATTTTGATAAGAATTAATCTAAAATATTACTGTATATAATCACAAGTCATTTTAACAATCTAATTCGAATAACCATCAGAGATTGGACCAGCACAAGTACTTTTTACTTAACAAGTGTACTTTGTACTTGTACTCTAGCACGCATACTAAGTTCGAAAATACTTATTAGAGTCTACTTAAGTACATCATCATATCTAGTTTCGATATATATTCGCCCTGTTACTAAACTAATAGAACCTATGTTTTTGTAACGGATAATAAATTTAAAAAGCTAAAATAATTAAGTCAGACAAAAACGAATCGTTTTAAACTAAGTACTCAATCAGTAATAACCAACAGCAGCAGAGGCGACTAAGGAGAAAAAAATCTGAACGTTAAGAAGAGAAAGAGAGATATTCAGCACGAATGATTCATACTATAATAATACTATTAAAAAATCATATTATTTTACAAAAATCAAAATATTATCAAAACTAATTCGATCAATACAAACTGTGCTTCTCTTTTATATAAACCATAAACATTGTTTAATCGAAAATTCATTCTATCAATGGAAGGCAATCATACTACCGACACCGCTTCGCCGAATGATTGTTTTGTTGACAGATAGGTACACTGTGTCAATAAAAAAATTGAAAATAAAAAAGTTAAAATTTGTCGAGAGTATGGCGTCAAAAAAGTCTTTTTAAAATTCGGCTATGTTATGGTTCGATTCATTGTTATGTTCTTTTTCTTTCTTCTGATTGAGGGTGGGTGTGAATGAGTAGTCACTTGATTTCATTCACACCCAAACCCACACCCACACCCACACCCACACCCCTCAAGACCTCTGTGTTACTTGTATTAATACAAACGAACATTGGTTGGAATAAAATAAATAAATGAGTAAAATATTACTATATTTTTTGGGAAGAAAAGAAAAGAAAAAGCGTGTAGTTCCACTTCTTCTTTTAGACATTCGTCGCACATGCCTACAAGCGGATACTCGATAAGAACCGCAGCAGATACACAAGGATAAGAAGTAGTAAAAAAGAACAACTGAGGAAGAACAAAAGACAAAGGAAAGACACAAGTAAAATATTAAAACGTTTCAGAAAAGTCAACTAGTACCATTATCTGTTCTATGCTATAATTAGGGATAGAATCATGTATAGGAACATTCGACCATCATCTCAGACTTTTCTCTAGAAGGTTAATGTGTTTGAAAAGTCTCCTCGACCTAAACAGTCCTTTGATATTGATCTCTTTTTCAACGTAGAATATTGTTGTAATATGTTCTATGAATTGTTTTCGCCATCCCGATATCTTATTCCTTGTATATATTATATTCAAACTTTTTCTTTCATTTGTTTATTGTCGAGTGCCAAGTGATAAGGCAGAAATCTCTCCTTGCGTCTAATTAGTTTTTTTTGTTCTTATCTTTACGTATACGTTTGTGCTGTGTACGTTTTATCGTAATATATATATATAGGTAGGTGGATTGTTATTTAATCATATACGTTGAAAGTGTTTCTATTTGTATTTTTACCATTCTCTAGTCTGACATTAGAGATTGAAACATTTACTCCTTCGATATAGATAAAAAAGTATTATTATAACAAATAAATCATTTTTATATGAAATCGACCTTGACACACCGTCTATAGTTGAGTACTAAGAATAACAGCATATACATACGAACATATATTTAATTGAGTAAAAGTTTAGATTTACAAATAACCGAGCGTTACAGTCATATCTTCATATGCCTTCACACATTCTTTGTTTGTTTTTCTTTCTCTTCTCTATTTTTGTTCTTCATTCGAAAAAGATACAACATGAAGAGAGGATCCTCTCATACTGAGTGTAAGTTTTGAACGTTTATTCTGATTCTTTATTATTCAAATCATTGACGAATAGAACATTATAGATTTATTTTGGTATTTCTTAACTCCTACTTCGATTTCTAATGGGTGTTTTCCACTAATAGATAACAAATTTCTTTTTTTAAAATTCTTTGATTCATCTCCAAAGTTAATCAATTTTATATACACTCCTTGTACAATAGTGTCGAAAGTTTCTCTTCTATGTTCTAGGTAAAGGATAGTTTTCATGGATTGTCATCATTTACGTGCTCTAATATTGAAAATCCAAGATTATCTTAGTGATGATGATCGAAAACGTTTGCATTTCTTTTTTGGTAATGATATTCCACGACGAATTCGAGATGATCCATCACTTGGTGGTACTCTTAATCTGATGGAAAGTCTCTTTGATCAAGATAAAATCAGTGAACAAGATTTCACTTTTTTAATCAATGCATTTGATGAAATTAATTGTCTGAATGCGGTTCATATTTTGAGAGGTTGTTATCATTATCTTAGTTATATCTCGATCGTTTCAGTTCTTTTTAGAACACATGAGAAAAATGCAAACAAATGGACAACACCAATCGACACAAACGTTAGCAACGATATTACTTCAAGATCCCGACGAAACAGACAAATATGCGCATCCGAATTGTGAGTAAGAACGACTTTTTCATCATCAAATATGCAATTATTCATAGATAATTCGATCCCTTACGAACGATCAAACAATTATGAAGATATAAAACTCAATACTTGTAATACAAACGCTAATTTACCATCTGTTTCTGTTAAACGAAATTCCTCGACATTAAAACAAAAACAACGATTAAAATTGTCAAAAACGACAATGAAATGTCTTTTATTCTTCTTCGTTTTATTGATCATTCTCTTAACAGTGGTGATAGGAATTTCTTTCGTTAAGATCAATCAATTAAACAAAGTATTAGAAAAAAAACATCCTAGTACTATCAATCAAGAAACAAAAACCACTCAGTCCAAGGAGAAAAGTAGTATGCCCGCTGATCAATTCAATCATTTCCAATTAAGACCGAGTAAGACATACACAATTATAGGGGACCACTCTGACTGAGACTGTACGTGTCCCAACTCAAATCGTCTCACACTAATTCATTCTAAATTCATCCGTATTAAATCGAAATGTAATTAATTACAGTTAGGACTTAGCTAATCCATTAGCTGTTCGATGTGTATATATAAACTGCGCGTATACCATCACTAGAATGAATTTACAACTGAACGATGTTCGTATCTGATGTAGTCGATGTATCTAATACTTACGAGTAAGAAAAGTAGTTTATGGGCAGATATGTACATGACAACTTTTTTACACTGTAATCAAAGTGAGAATGACTGAATAGAACTTCAACGAAAGATCAGGTTAAACGTTTTCTTTAATAATGTATTTGAATCAATTTGCCTTCGTGAACTATTTCCTAGAGAGTTACAAAACTAGTGTTTCTAATATAGATTTTGGTTCATATCTCTAGAGCGATTTCAGATCAGAAACTGCACCTCGTATTTATAGAACTGAAAATGCATTCTTAGTTTTTGGAATTAGTTTCATCGAATGCGAAACTATCACACTCTTTATCAAAAGACAACATAGTAGGGAGCAGGAATCTCATCATCGTGATCCTGTTGAAGAGTCTCTATTCAATAGATGAAAACGAAAAAGAATCTTGAGGACATTTCAAGATAGAGACTATCTGTACCACGATTTTCATTGTTTCACTGTGAACTAGACGAAAATAGCGTATTTGTTACCACAAACTGCTTTTTTAGAAGTTGCCATCTAAAATTTGATGAATTTTTTAATAATACAATATCTCAGCAATAGATTGAGTTGGGGAGATGCGATTTGTGGTACAAAAAAACTAAGTAAACGAGGTTCTTTTCATTACTTGAATCGATCAAACTTTGATGAAGAGCAACATTGGTCGTGACTTACATGCATTCAGTAAAAACGATTTAATTTCTAAAATTTTTTATATACATGATGTCACTTTTATGTGCATAACGTGAATATATTCATTATTTGATTAGATTTATCATTTGATTCAAGCACGTTATGCAATGTTACGAACCCAATAGTTGGTTTTCTGATGAACAAGGCAACAAAAAGGGTACTCGACAGCAACGATGAAAGAGGTGTTAACACCCGTAACAGAAATGGCGACGCACATCAACAATGGAAGTTCCAACGTCAAGATAATGGTTCTTGTCTAATAGAAAACGTAGCAACCTCGTGGATACTAGATTCTGATAGTTGCAGGGTGTACACACATGGTGTCTCTGGCAGTCGCAATCAAAAATGGTTATTACGCTGGGACCAGCATAAATATTTTGTACTGGAAAATCTAGGAACCTCGAGAGTACTTGACTCTGATAATTGGGGTCAAGTATATCCATACAATCATAATGACGGTGACTTTCAGAAATGGTCTTTCATTGAAACATAGATTGAACTATGTTCCAATAAATCTGTAACTGACTCATCGTGTCTATATAGTTCATGCATACTAGTAGGATTACATACAGTAACGATAGTATTAGACATAAATATGATAATCTGAATGATTTTACACTTTCTCTTTTCTTTTTAAATACTACCCTATTTATCATTAGAGTATATTTTTCTCCCCCTTCCTTCGCTTTTCTGTTTTTCAATGACTTCTTGACACATCATGTTAGTTATATGTTATAGGTTATAATCCAACTCTCGACAGCTCTTCGATTATATCTTGAGAGTGTTGTGTGAGTGGATGTGTCATAAAGCGCATTGTGATCGTGGTTTCCACCTTGCTTAAAGATCTCATCAGACGGCTTATGCTGATTACATAGAATTTATTCTAATTATCTAGAAGATCATAACCTAAAGTCTCTATATATGCAATCCACTTGTAGTAATATTACAAATAAAGTTTGAAAGAGACTTTTGATGATTTGGGATCGGAAGGTTATCGCATTATCCTGTTGTTGAAGTCTAATATAACAGTCTTCTGTTTATTTATTACTTGCTGACTATGCTGCTATAAGGGCTTTTAGAAGTTGTGAATGAGATCTTGTAGAGTCAGTGTCCTAATTCTATCAGAAAAGAGCACTTTTAGTAATTTCTTTATAACTCAAGTTATATATATCGTACAGGCATAATTTTTTGTTTCCGCAATAGAGCAAACATTTCGGTATTAAATGATATAAGATTCAGGGATCGCAGCAGCATGTGTTTCAAAATCAGGAAACAGGACAGGAAATTTTTTTAAATCAGGAATTTTCATAGAAGTCAGGAAAGGTAAACTTTCTTCTGATATCACGTTTCTCCAGTAAAATCGGCATCAAAGAAAGTGCCATATTAACAGCTTGTAACAATCAAAATACAGGTTGCTACAATTAAGCACTAAAGTTGTTTAAAACAGTATGAATCATATATAAACTTATTCTTTTATTCAGGTTTATATACTTTTCGTGCTGCTCTATTTATTTCTTTTCGCTCTCTTCTATTGTCATACTTTTATTCTGTGTTGTTATTCTCTACATATGTAAAACAACTATTATCTTATATTGATTTGATTTTGAAAAATGCATCCCTTCAACTAGTTATTTTCTGATGCCCATAAATTCAACGTTTTGTTCAAAAATGATTGGAAAAACCAGATAATACTGGTAAAGTGAGTTCTCGATGGCTTAAACAAGGTAAAACTACCATATAAATAAGTAAACTTGATATTGAAGTCATAATAAATAGAAGAATGC